TTTTTCATATAGGTTACTATAAAATATCGAATATAGTTCCCTGTGCTTTACAGTAGAAACTTGTTTTTTTAATCTATTTTATATATAGTAGTTATTATCTGCAAATCTTAAACTCCCAATTTATCCCTTCCCACCCTTTCTCCCACTGGTAACCATAAGTTTGTTTTCTATGTCTGTGAGTCTGTTTCTGTTTTGTAGATAAGTTCATTTGTCTTTTTTTTATATTTCACATATAAGCGATATCATATGATATTTTTCTTTCTCTTTCTGGCTTACTTCACTTAGAATTACATTCTCCAGGTCCATCCATGTTGCTGCAGATAGCATTGTTTTATTCTTTTTTATGGTTGAGTAGTATTCCTGTGTGTGTGTGTGTGTGTGTGTGTGTGTGTGTGTGTGTATCACAATTTCTTTATCTAATCATCTATTGATGAGCATTTAGGTTGTTTCCATGTCTTGGCTATTGGAGATAGTGAACACTGGGGTGCATGTATCTTTTTGAATTAGAGTTCTCTTGGATATATGCCCAGGAGTGGGATTGCTGGATCATATAGTAAGTCTATTTTTAGTTTTTTGAGGAATCTCCATACTGTTTCCCATAATGGCTGCGCCAAACTACATTCCCACCAACAGTATAGGAGGGCCTCCTTTTCTCCACAGTCTCTCCAGCATTTATTGTTTGTGTACTTTTTAATGGTGGTCATTCTGACCAGTGTGAGGTGATACCTCAAGACTCTCCTCCCTGGGTTGTGGTACATCTGGGAGACGACCCCAGGAAAGCACGAGTGTAATAGCCTCAAGGCAAGATGGGAGAGAAGGGATGGAGGAATCAGGGAATCCAACTAAAAGGGGCAGAGGCGGACATTAGGCAAGAAAATAGGCAGAACCAGAGGATGCAGAAACCTCAGGGGCCTCTGTTAGCACATTTACAAGTTCTCATTGTAAAATGAGAATTGCTGGATAGAAGGTTATAATACTCACAGGGCTTCCTCCTTGTAGGGTTTTTCTGGGCTGCCAGGTAACTTTTTCATGAGCCTTTAGGTAAAAGAGCCACATATGATCTCGAGTGAGTTGGTCCTGCTCTCCGGACCTTATTCTTCTCAACTATAAAACAAAAGAATTAGACTCAGTAATTTCAAAACCAGCTCTAAAAATTATCTGATTGTGTTCTAAGAAAAAAATGAGTAGTGGTGGGCAATTTTATTCATTGTTTTTGGATTGGGACCAGAAAAGGAGGTCAACGACGAGAACAAACATTCCTCTCATTAATAATAAGAGTGGCAGCCCTACTTAGTGGGACTTACTGCGTGTCTGACACTGTGCTGAGTGTATTATGTGCATTATCTCATTTGAATTCCACAATCCTGCAAGGAGGGATGATTTGTCTAAGGAAGAGGAAACTGAGGCTCAGAGCGGTTAATTTACTTGCCTGAGGTGGCACAGTAAGTAAGTAAGTTGAGCCAAGGGTTTGAACCCTGGTCTCTGTGACTTTTATTACATTGTCACATTCACCTAACCTCCATGATTTCTTTCTTTCTACAACAGGCCTGCAGATAAAGAGCTGCAACTTTCAGGAAGCAAAAAACAATGCAGAGCACCACACCGATGACATCAGCACCCAGGACCTCATTGTGAGGAGAGGGCAGCCCTTCACCATCAGCCTGCACTTCCAGGCTCCAGTCCACACATTTCTGTCCACCCTGAAGAAAGTCACCCTTGTTGCGCAAACTGGTGAGTAGGGTGGGCCTTGACCTCTTTGGCAGCAGGACTGGGGGGTTCTTTCTTCAGCAACCCCTCAGGGAACCAAGGGGCAAATGGCTCAGGCTGTGCCTGGACCTCAAGAAGTATGAGATCATACACATAATAAATAGCATTTATTATGATTCAGAAGAATCAGAATGCTCAGCTGCATTAGCACTGAGGGGCTCCTTTTGGTTGCAAATATAGCATCGATTTTGTAGAACAGCGTGAATGGGATTTAATCTAGGCGAACATTTATTTGTTGAATCTGTACTACACGTCAGCTGTTGGTCCACGGGCTTTACCTGCAATGTCTCATTAAGACCTCACATTGGCCCTGTGAAGGAGACATTATTACTACCCACTTCTTATACGCTATGAATCCTTTCTAGGGTGCTGACAACCTAGACCTCTCCCATCACCCTTTCCTACCTCCCGTTACTGGATGGGCTGCTTTTATTCTCCTTCTCTAAAACCAATTTTCATCTGCTCCAACTTTGTGATAGTTCACTTTGTTACTCTGGGTTGTGGTCAAGAAGTCCAAATGACCAATTCAGTTCTGTGTGACTGCAGGGGAGCAGCCTTCTGAGGCAAACAGGACCCAAACCACGTTCTCAATTTCCAGTCTGGGCGACCAGAAGTGGTGGAGTGCGAAGGTGGAGGACAGAAACACCTGGTCCTGGATCATCTCTGTGACCACGCCCGCAGACGCTGTCATTGGCCACTATTCACTCCTGCTGCAGGTTTCGGGCAGGAAGCAACACCTGGGCCAGTTCACACTGCTCTTTAACCCCTGGGGTCGAGGTGAGTTTGGACCTGGGCCAGCCTGGGCTGCACAGGATTCAAGGCCCAGGAGCTGGGCGCAGCTCTGGCAGAGTGTGACTCTTCCAGGCCCCAGGGGACAGTTCCCTGCAGGGCAGCACCAGCACTCAGCTACTGTGGTGCCTGCTCCCTGGATGAACGAATGGCCTCTCAGATCCAGGGTCCTGTCTTGGTGTGACCTTGGCTGGAGCAGCCTGGGGCTTCCCAGTGAAAGGCTTGTCTGGTGCCACTCCACTCAGGCTACTTGGTCACAGAAGCTGAGATTCACCGAGACAATCCTCAGAGAATGACCCTCCACTGTAACAGGATAGGGGCTGAGCTGGTACCTGCTCCAGGAATAGAGGCGACCTGAGGGACGGGCTTCACCGTTCCCTCCTTGTCTGTCTCCAGAGTGAATCCAGGTTTTGAGGGACCTGAGTTTTATAGAATTTGGGGGACATTCTTTAAGAAAAAGGGCACAGAATTTTGAATCGCTTAGGCCCATCCCTGGGCCTGATGGGGTCTGTGCTGGTAAGGGGCCCAAAGCTGCAGCTTCACGGTCACTCTGCTGTTTCGCTAACTCTGCTTCTCCACTTGTTAGTTCTGTCCTCACTACAGACTGCTGGGTCCTCTCCACACTGCCCAGTCCATATATCTACCTAGAGCGGCAAATTAAACAGCCAGCCTCTCCTGGCTCAGCAGCCCCAGAGTGGGCTTTCCTGGGGTCAGGTGACCTCCCACAGACCAGCCAGTGGCCACCTCTGGCAAAGCTCAGCCCTGGCTGTCAGGGTGACTTCCTCTAGAAAAGGTCAGCAGACGTGGTTGATGTGCCCCAAATGGGAGCCAAGAGAACATCTCTTCCTTCCCATCCTGAAGATCGAGTCTTTCCTTTTTGAATCTGCCACTCCTGACCCTAATCCTAAGGGCTCCCTAAGGGGTTGTTTGGGGGGTTAAAAGACAATTTCTTCCAGCTTGCCTGTCCTTGCTACCTTAGACAAGTCTTTTCCTTTCAAGACTTTACTCCCAGCCCGAAGGCGGCCTCACCACAAGGCAGGGCTGGGAACAGGGGAATGAGAAGAAATCTTCCCAGGTTCCCGCAGACCATACCCCTGGACCCCTCTTCCTGACGCCCTTTCTGTGTGGCTTCTGAATCCCAGTGGGCTCCCCATCTCCACTTCTTTCTCCCAGGCTGGGGTTCTCCAATGCCCCCTCCTCCAGATGGCCTCAGCTTTCCTCAGTTCAGGCCCTTTATTCCTGCTCCAAGGGGTTTGGCAGGTGGAATGATGGGAACCAGTGTCTATTCCATTGCCCTGCCCCACGTGGGTGAGCGTGGATTTGGGGCCCCTTTAGCCGGGGGAGGCCCCATGGCTCTCCACGCACTGACAGGAAGACCCTCAAGCCATTTCCTTCCAAAGCTGAGGCTGTAATGTACCTGCCTCACTGACTCTGAGCCCACATCCAAAGCTGGGCCCTGACAGACAAGCAAAGATACAGCGAAGGCAGTTCTGGGACAGTGCTTGGTTCAGTGGGAAGTCACAGTCTTGACTTTGTGCCAGGATTCCCGCCTCCATGCTCGGCTTGGAGGGACCTGCGTAGGGAAGCCCTCTCTATGTGAGTGTGAGTGTGTGTGTGTGTGTGTGTGTGTGTGTGTGTGTGTGTGTGTGTGTGGTGGGGGTGGGGTGTCGTGTCGTGGTGTGGTGTGTTGTCGCTCTCTTGTCGGTAGGTAGTAGTTGTTGAGTAGTTAG